TCTTCTTCTTTCTTCTTTTCCTTTCGGCTGTTCCCAGTTTAGGGGTCGCCACAGCGAATCATCCTTTTCCACCTAACTCTGTCCTCAGTATCCTCTACTCTTGCACCAACTACCTTCATGTCCTCTTTCAGCACATCCATATATCTTGTCTTTGGTCTTCCTCTTGACCTCTTGCCTGGCATCTCCATCTCCAACATCCTTCTTCCAATATAACCACTATCCCTCCTCTGCACATGTCCAAACCATCTCAACCTGGCCTCTCTGACTTTGTCTCCAAAACAACCAACCTGAGCTGTCCCTCTGATGTGCTCGTTCCTAATCTTGTCCATCCTCGTCACTCCTAAACTGAACCTCAACATCCTCATCTCTGCTACTTCCAGCTCTGCCTCTTGTCTCTTCCTCACTGCCACAGTCTCCAACCCATACATCATAGCTGGTCTCACTACTGTTCTGTACACCTTTCCTTTGACTCTTGCTGACACTCTTCTGTCACACAACACCCCTGACACTTTTCTCCACCCACTCCAACCTGCCTGCACTCGTCTCTTCACCTCTTTTCCACACTCCCCGTCACACTGGACCCCAAATACCTAAACTCCTGCACCTTCTTGACCTCAGCCCCCTGTAACCTCACTGTTCTATTTCCCTCCCTCTCGTTCAAACACATGTATTCTGTCTTACTGCGACTGACTTTCATTCCTCTTCTTTCTAGAGCTGACCTCCAACTTTCCAGGTTTTCCTCAACCTGCTCTCTGCTCTCACTACAAATCACAATGTCATCTGCAAACATCATTGTCCATGGAGATTCCTGTCTGACCTCATCTGTCAACCTGTCCATCACCATAGCAAATAAGAAGGGACTCAAAGCTGATCCTTGATGTAGCCCCACCTCCACTTTGAACTCCTTTGTCTGACCTACAGCACATCTCACTGCTGTCTTACTTCTCTCATACATATCCTGAACTACTCTGACGTACTTCTCTGCCACTCCTGACCTCCTCATACAGGACCATAGCTCCTCTCTCGGCACCCTGTCATACGCTTTTTCTAAATCCACAAAGACGCAGTGCAGCTCCTTCTGACCATCTCTGTACTTCTCCATTAACAATCTCAGAGCAAAAATTGCATCAGTAGTGCTCTTCCTGGGCATGAAGCCATACTGCTGCTCACAAATATCCACTTCTCTTCTTAGCCTAGCTTCCACTACTCTTTCCCAAAGTTTCATTGTGTGGCTCATCAACTTTATGCCTCTGTAGTTGTTACAACTCTGCACATCACCCTTGTTCTTAAAGATTGGTACTAGGACACTTCTCCTCCATTCCTCAGGCATCTTCTCACTCTCTAAAATCCTGTTGAATAACCTAGACAGAAACTCCACTGGTGTCTCTCCTAGACATTTCCACACCTCCACTGGTATGTCATCTGGACCAACAGCCTTTCCACTCTTCATTCTCCCCAGGGCCTTCCTCACCTCATCCTTTCTAATCTTTTCAACTACCTGCTCTACAATATTCACATCTTCCTCCCTTCTTTCCCTTTCATTCTCCTCATTCATCAACTCCTCAAAATACTCCTTCCATCTTCTCAGCACACTCTCCTCACTTGTTAGCACCTTTCCATCTCTATCTTTAATCACCCTTATCTGTTGCACATCCTTCCCATCTCTGTCTCTCTGTCTCGCTAATCTATACAATTCCTTCTCGCCTTCCCTCGTGTCTAACCTGGCATACAACTCATCATATGCTTTCTGTTTGGCCTTTGCCACCTCCCTCTTCACTCTGCGCTGCGATTCCTTGTAGCCCTGTCTACTTTCTTCAATCCTTTCAATGTCCCACTTCTTTTTAGCTAGCCTCTTCCTCTGGATGATGTCCTGTACTTCCTCATTCCACCACCATGTTTCTTTATGTTCTTTCCTCCTTCCAGCTGACACACCTAGCACCTTTCTTCCTGTCTCCCTGATCACTTCTGCTGTGGTTTCCCAGTCATCTGGAAGCTCTTCCTGACCACCCAAAGCCTGTCTCAGCTTCTGTCTAAATTCCTCACAATCTTCTTCCTTTTTCAACTTCCACCACTTGGTCTTCTTTTCCATCTTTCCTCTTCTCTTCTTCCTGACCACCAGAAACATCCTACACATCACCATCCGATGCTGTCTGGCTACACTCTCTCCTACCACTACTTTACAGTCTCTGGTCTCTCTCAGATTGGCTCGTCTACAAAGGATGTAGTCTACCTGCGTACTCCTCCCTCCACTCTTGTAGGTAACTCTATGTTCCTCCCTCTTCTGGGAATAAGTATTAACTACAGCCATTTCCATCCTCTTGGCAAAGTCCACCACCATCTGTCCTTCTAGGTTCCTTTCCTTAACACCGAACCTGCCCATCACCTCCTCATCACCTCTGTTGCCCTCGCCAACATGCCCGTTGAAATTTGCTCCCACTACTACTCTCTCCCCTCTGGGAACACTCTCAATCACCTCATCTAACTCCCTCCAAAATCTCTCCTTCTCTTCCAACTTACAGCCTACTTGTGGAGCATAACCACTCACTACATTCAACATCACCCCTTCAATTTCTAACTTCAAACTGATCACCCTGTCTGACACTCTTTTCACCTCTAAAACATTCCTCACAAACTCCTCCTTCAGGATCACTCCTACCCCATTTCTCTTCCTATCCACACCATAGTAAAACAGTTTGTATCCCCCTCCAATACTACGCGCTTTGCTACCCTTCCACCTGGTCTCCTGCACACACAGAATATCTACCTTCCTTCTCTCCATCAGGTCCGCCAGCTCCCTACCCTTCCCTGTCATTGTACCAACGTTAAGAGTCCCTATTCTCAGATCTATACTCCTGCCTTTCCTCTTCTCTTTCTGTCGATGAATCCTTCTCCCTCCTCTCCTTCTTCGACAAACAGTAGTCCAATTTCCACCGGCACCCTGTAAGTCAACAGCACCGGAGGCGGTCGTTGTTAACCCGGGCCTCGACCGATCCGGTATGGAAATCGATTTGGTGACTCGCATATTTGGTTTTTGGCATTTTTTACGCCGGATGCCCTTCCTGACGCAACCCTCTCTATTTATCCGGGCTTGGGACCGGCACAGAAGTCACTGGCTTGCAACCCCTGTGGCTAGATTACTTAAATGTTCACTACTGATTGTTCAAATTTCGTTTTGAGATCTCGAATCCAGAACTTAACCTGCCCCGGAGCAGGTTAGCCGTGCAGCGCAAGTTACCATGGCAATGAACACCAACTGAAGCCGAGTTTCTTTCATGGTACCTAAAACCCAGCATTGGTGCAAACTAATCCTAAACTTACCTGGCTAGTCAGCTAATCCGGCTTCATGGTACAGGCCCCTGATCTGAACAGGTAGATGGCAAACATGTATACAGAGCTAACTTGTACAAACATTATTTATAAAAACAGTAACAGTTAAATCAATGTTTATTGACACATTTATGTAAAATAAATAGTTCCTGAAGGAGGGAGACAAAACGAAGTTAACAACGAACAAAGGAAATAAGTGCAGTGGCAATGGAAATGTGTGCAGCTGTTATGGAACTGTTCCTTCTGACCATTTCTCTTTTCAGGGCAGTAGCTCTGGATCGATAAGTGGTATCGACAAAAGTAGTAATACCGTTAAAACCTTAATGATACCCATCCGTATTGATGAGTCTACAGAAAAATACCTTTTCAAGTTTTACTTGGAAAAAAAATGTTAATCGATGGGGTGGGCTCAGCTGTACATATGTTGACTAATCAAGGACCTTATATCCACGGAAGCGTTTAGCACTCATGCTCAGCCTCCTTTTGTGAAGACTACTCGGGTAAAGATGGTTGACTCTACCAGTGCGATTCCACCGAGCAACAACACCGAGGCAAAACCCAGTAGGCCACTACTGTATCTTGTTCTTCATCTTTACTCTCCTTTCCATCATTATTTCTTTTCACCCTGCCAAAATGTGTTTTCAGCTAATCCCTGTTCTCTGCTCCTCAGCTCGCTGTTCATGCCACTTCATTCACATTTCATGAAACTCAGCACACCTAAGCTCACAACTATCTGCTCCACTCAAGCCATCATCTGTCTCCGTCGGTCTCTGGAACTCTCAATCGGCTGTCAACAATTCAGTCAACACTCAACATCGTCGGCCTGACAGAAATATGGGTATAACCAGATGATATTGGGACCCTGGCTGCTCTATCTTAGTAATTCACCTTCTCCCACTCCCCCTGGGAAGCTGGACGTCACGGTGGCACTGGACTTCTCATCTCTAAATCATGGAAATCCACACCCTTCACAAACTATGTATTTGGGGACTTCAACATACACCTGACTTTCATTCCCTCATGGTCTCCTTCAACCTGGATCTCCAGACTACCACTGCCACACACAAGTCAGAAAACCACTTAGACCTCATCTACACACGTAACTGCTCCCCACATCAAATCAGGGTCTGCAGGACCATACTCTTACACGTCACACCACTGCACACTTCTGACCACTTCTTCATCATGTTTAAGCTAATACTTACCAAACATTTCCGATCTGATGACTCCTCCAGTTACTTTCAGACGCAACCCGAGGACCCTCGCTGCATCTACATTCTCAGTCTCTTCCCTCACTTCCGACACTCCCAGAGCTCTCCTCACTCAACACAAATGATTCTACAGACAAACTCTGCTCTGCACTAACTTTATGTCTCGACAAGCTCTGCCCCCTCACCGCCAGAACACCTGAGACCTCTTCCAATCCCTGGTTATCAAGTGTTCTCAGGGATCAAATCACCACCCTGTGGTCTGCAGAGAGGGAATGGTGCAAACAGACCCAACTACTTACCAGACTTTACTTGCGTCATTTTCGAGCTGAGTACACATTGCCAAGAGCACATACCACCACGAGAAAATCAATAACTCTTCAGAACCTTCAACTCTCTTCGCCACCCTCCGAAACCCCCTGCTCGCCCGTCTCTTACACGTCTGGCAGTATAGCCTAGTGAAGTGGCAGTATGGCCTAGTGGATCAGGTGAGTGACTGGAGATCAAAAGGTCGTTGGTTCAATCCCCCCTTCCTTGGTTGAGTGTTGAAACTCTCTCTCCCTCGTGTGGGAGTGTATATTCACTGCTGTGTGTGTGCACTTGGATGGGTTAAAAAATGCAGAGCACAAATTCCTTATATGGGTCCCATACTTGGTCCTAATTCTCTAATTTCACTTTCACCTACTGCTGGTGAATTCGCCAGTTCAGTCAGTTCACCGCTCCAGTCAACTAGACCCATGTAGAACCAACCACATTTACTCCACTCTTGAAACCTCAAGTCTCAAAACATCTCCACCAGTCCTCTAGATCCTGTACCTTCTCACCTTCTCCAGTCCAGCTCACCTTCTTCTGTACTGGCTCTCACTCGCATCATCTCTCAGCTCAAGGACCTTCCCAGACTCCTTCACAAAAGCTCGGATAACCCCTCTACTCAAACGGCAGCTCTCGACACTATAGAAAACTATAGACCCATATCACTTCTACATTTCACAGCCAAAATTCTAGAACGTGTTGTTTTAATCAATAGTGTTCTTTACTCACAGATAATAGACAACTTGAACCAATCAGGAGTCAAGAACGCCCATTCAACAGAAACTGCTCTTCTATCAGTGACGGAGGCACTCAAACTCACCAGAGCAAAATCTGAATCACCAGTTCTCATTCTACTGGAGCTCTCTGCAGCCTTCGACACGGTGAACCATCAGATCCTCCTGTCCACATTCGCAATTAAGGGTATCTCCGGCACTAGCCTGGAATGGCTGAAGTCTTACCTCACTGCCAGATCCTTCAGGAGTCGGCTGGAGGGACAAGGTGTTTCACAGGGTTCAGCTTTTGGCTCTCTGGTCTTCTTAAGCTACATCACCTCCCTGGGTCCCATCATCCACCAACACGACTTCTCCTACCATTATTATGCTGAAGAGACCCACCTCCTCCTGTCATTCCATCCTGATGACTCTACTGTTACACCCCGCAGAACATATTGTCTGAACCTCATTTCATTGTGGATGAAGCTCCTTCACCTACAGCTCAACATGGCAAAGACTGAACTGCTGGTTATCTCTGCCAACCACACTGTGCGGCACTTCACCATACTACTAGAGTCTTCGACAATCTCTCCATCCACCTCTGTCCGTAACCTTGGAGTGATCTTCTATGAGCAGCTAACATTCGAGGAGCACATCGCTAGAACCGCTCGATCATGTAGATTCTCTCTCTGATAAAGATCAGACGCCTCCTCACAGAACATTCAACTCTAATCCAAGCACTGGTCATAACAAGACTCGATTACTGCAATGCTTTTCTCTCCAGACTTCCTTCCAGTGCAGCCAGACCCCTTCAAATGTACTATAACTCAGCAGCTCGACTGATCTTCATGAAACCTGGACGAGCTCACGTCACTCCTCTCCTCATCTCTCTCCACTGGCTTCCCATTGAGGCTCCCTTCAAGATCAAAACAGTGATGCTTGAAAATAGGACAGTCACAGGCTCCACTTCATCATACCTCCACAAACTCCTGCAGTCCTACGTACCCTCTAGATGCCTCCGTTCAGGAAATGAACAGCGTTTGGTGGTCCCATCTCAGAGCTGCAAAAAATCTCTCACCAGGACCTTCTTCACAAGATGTCCAGATATCCGTGTTATACCTCTAAAAAAAAGAGAGGACAGCTGCCGGCCATAGTGCCCACAAAATAAGCTGGCAGGGTTGGCAGGGAACTGAAGTAGGAGAACTACAGGAAGCAGAAGTGAAGGCGCTACTGTGGGTGAGAGAGAGCGAGGGGAAGCGAGACAGTGGGCTGACTATGCAACGCCATTCAACTCCTAAACTCCAGCAAAGCAATGCCAAAGACAAAGGAAAAGGGAGCGAGGGAGGAGGCTGGCAAGACAAAACCATTTCCAGGGCTATTTAGGTTGTAGTGGAATTATGTGTAATGTAATGAAAAAATATTTGTAAAAAAAGAAACTGGGGTTGTTCTAAAAAAATAGACCAAGCATTGCCACAAAAACTGTTTTAAAGGTAAACTATTAGAGTAAATTGTAAAGTAGTAAAATAAAATGCACAAAACAGCCCTAAATTTTTAATGTTGCTTTCACACCTCTAGTTCGTTTAATTTGGACTGGACCAGGAGCAACAACTGATGCACTCTTGCAATCATCTGCAGATTTAGTCGTCATTTGCCCCTAACTGATCATCATGTGACATCAGACAGGCCACTTAATTGTCACATACGTCCTAGTTGGTTAGAATGAATACACACGTGGAAGTAAACAGCAGAGGGCAGAATAACAGAAAATTGGGATCAAAATGGCCAGTTTTGGTTTTAAGCATCTTTTACGTCATCATTTGTTTTAATTGCTTCTGATGAATGTTGCAAATGATGCTCGTTTTACAGACACACCATCCCATAATGCTGTGTGCAAGGGAGAAAGTCGTCTTCAAAAGTCGTTTTGTTTGGATGAGATTTTGATCGCACAAGCAAAAGAGTTTGTTTGTATTTGTACCGAGAGCACCTCCTCGAGCAGGTCTCGAACCGCTTTTACTTTAGTTTATTCGAATCAAACTAAACAAGCCCCCTAATGGCTACTTTGTAAACAACACTGTTTTGTTTAGCAGTTTGCGGTGCTATGGTTGAATTACCTGTCTCCTGGGGACTGCACCCCCAATAAACCCATTGTGTGATTACAAAATTATTTCAAAATAAAAGTCTGTTGCGTTAAGTAATATATAGCGTGAGCTAAGCTCAGCATTAAAATTAATTTCAAAGTTATTTTAAAACCCTGTAAACTTTCAGAAAGAAAAAGGCAACTGATAACTTCAATAAGTTCAAAAACTCTTAAATGCTGCTGCAAAACGTTTAATAAAAATAAATGTGATAAAGTTTTAATCACTTGGGGTTTTTTCACAGTTAGCTAACGTTATCAACGCAACGTTACTAAAAGAAATATATTTATGTGTATATATGCCACATTGCGAGAGAAAGCAAGTGCGTGCTTCTGACTGTGGCGCCGCAATAAAAGCTCGATCCGCTGCTGCTGCTGCTGCTGCGTGGGAGTCGCGAGAACACAACGCGAGACTTTTTATAAACATTTTCTCATTGCTAACATTAAAATAGAATAAAACAGATACATCACTAGCAATATATCATTTTCTTTAATTTAATCTGCTGGAAAATCAACATTGGTGGGTTGTTATTATTTCATTATAACGGCCAAGTCGACATTAACGTTATAGCTGAACCAGGCACCGCAGGAGGAAATCACGCTCAACAGAAACCCACGTAGCGGACGAGAAAGCAGCCGTTACTCACGTTACACGGGGATCGGGACGCGGCTCACGCATCCATAAACACAGCAGAAGTCAGACGCTCCCGTTAGTGCGAACGGTCCCGCGGCATCAGCAACAGTTTCAGACGAGCGTCACGGCAGCCCTTCCGTGGGATCGACGTGCAACGTGGACGCACCCCCTTGTCTGAGACTAACCAATAATGAGGCGAGCTGAGTGACGAGGGCGTTGCTTCCAGCTGCATCCAGACGAGCGTCACCGTCAAAGTTCATCATTAAAATGATCGAAAAAATCCCTGATGCCGGAACACAGGCTTTTGTTAAACTAGCCATGGATTAAGGTAAACTTCGTCATATCGCTCTTATTTTGGGTTACTACACATATTGATGGGCTAACCATTACCATTGTTTTGGGTTAATATACTTCAAAAATACCAAAATACTTAACCTTATTTTAAGGCAATTTCATTAATTCATTACAAGCTGGAGTATATATACAGTTTACATGCAAAAAAGGTATTAATAAATTATTAGCTCCCTTGAGAAATGAAACATTTGTAATATTGTCAGCGATCATCTGTTAAATATGGGGAACTTTTTTTTTTAATCGAAACCAATAACCGATATATTTCAGCTCATAAATGCAGATACCAATAAAAAAAAAACCTCTTCTTTCTGAGAATTTCTGTTCTCTGTATCGTACTTCCCAGCGTCCAAAAAACATTGGAGCAGATGCTCTTTCCAGATTCCATGCACCCGGAGAAAACTCCACCGAGCCACAAAATATCTTACTTGAGTCTATGATCTTAACTCCTATCCAATGGAACCCATGGGAATCTATTAAGAATGTAGCACCCTACCTGAAGAAATATCTCCCATCTAAAAATGAATTCCCTGAAGAAATAACAATGGACATTCATGCGCCTTCAGCAAGGATGTATAAGAAATCATCAAAGCATGTCACGGCCGTGCTATTTCAAAGACACCCAGAAACCTGCCAACCAGAAATCCTGAACCAGACAGGTACTAAGGCCTTTACACACCTGTGTCATGAGCTGCTGAGCCTTTCTCTTGGTTTAAAAAAATGAGTGCACAGACACTCTCCTGAACACTAGATGGCGCTTTGGTGAACTACAATTCACTGCATGATGCCACACGGTGTGTCTGACAAATTTGTAAGATCACTGTAGGTTTTTTTGTTGCTTAATTTATTTTCTAGGATTTTAGGGTTTATTTTTTAATTGTTCTATTTCTTATATTTGAGGCCATGAAAGATGGTCGCGATGCATCCTCCGAATTCAGGGGAAAGTAGGACGCATTTCAAGGCTGCATTTTAAGAACACTTCGAGCTTCGCTGAAATGATACCGTTGTGACGTAGGTGCCCTTAAAATAAGCACTCGGGAGGATGCACACTTCTGGATTGGGACACAGCTATAGATGGAAATATAAAAAGAAGGAGCGCACAAGGCAGAAGGTGAGCAGCAGATGAGGGAAAAATGAGGGAGATGGCAGAGAATTCAGACAGTTGTTGAAAGCTATAGCAAGAATCAAGAGAATGAGATCCACGGATAAACCTAACAAAGAACGGATAAACCCGACAAAGAACGTCAAAGAGCTGTTGAAGCTACTAGTCTTGTCTCACAAGAAGCTTTCTCCAAAGAAATCAAGAGAAAACCAAAGTCCAGCCCATTGTATCAACTTGACCCTGTGCTAGAAAACGGTTTGCTTGTGTAGGAGGAAGATTAAAGAAATCATCA